AGGATGCCTCGGGGGTGAGTAAAATGCAGTCTAATTTTCATTTTTGGGTGAACTAACCCTTTAATACAAATATTGTACAGAAGAAAAAAAAATCATACTAAAAAAAGAATTTCTTCATGCAAAATATATATATATTAAATATGTTTCTTTTAATTCTGGGGTGAAATATTATCCAGACATGTTTTCACGACATTCACCTATATTTAGAAAAACAAGCGTTGAAGTTTGTGGGCAGATCGGTAGTTTGAAACATCTGCCTCATTCAGTGCAGTGAAGACATGACTTTTCATTCAAATTACTTGCCAATCATTTCTAATAACTGTCAAATAGTCAAACATCTTGTCCACAATAGCAAGTGCAATACAAACAAGATCACCATCTAATTCAATCTTTTATTCAACCAATCACAATAATGCACCTAATTGGCTCTGACAGGCTCGCCTGGTCAATTTCAAACAGCCTTTCCACCTTTTTTCTTTTCCTTTATGGCTTGTTACAATCATTCTGAGTGATATTTATTGATCACTAATCTTTGTGAGCACTAGCTGCATATCACTAAAATAACTGTGATTGATTGGCAGGTGTATTTTCTTAATTTAACAAACAAAAAGGGACAAGAAATAATGAATCCATAAGGAAATACATTATCAGACCTGAATCAGTCAACACAACTGAATATCACATGCTATGAACAATAATTTATAGTGATAAGGTGTGGGACGATGACGGATGTAGTTTTGTTCTTTGCCCTCAATTATCTAGTTATTCCACAACACCACAGGTGTTTTGAATATAGTATATCATAATTCATCTTATAAAATGTAGCTTTAACAAACAACCTGCTGTGTCCCGAAATGACAAGGTCTTCATAACAGATGGTTGCACTGCAAGACACTTTAGACTGGAAAAGGACAATTCTCTCCCACACTGAGTTAGAAAATATATATATTGACCAAAGGAACATGAACTTGGGAAAACTTTTGAATGTTTAGTTATTAGGGGTTATTATTGTAATATTATGAGCTTTGTACGGTAATGTTTTCTCACCGGTGAATGAGACATGAGGTAATCTGACAGTGTTACATTCAACCCTCCACCAACGCCGTCTCTCATGTCACTGGTTAGCCTCTGCTCTGCCTGTGCGCGGTCATGTGTTTCGGAGGAGGTGTGGCTTTGGAGAGTGATTACGCAGGGAAGGTGGGATCTTATGCTTTCAAAGCTAGCTTGCTATTGCTAGTCACTCCGAAATCACCTACCCTTCCTTTAAGATGTGGTTTAGTGGTTAAAGATCTTTAACCAATGATTAGTCCTTCCTCAAAAGTGCTTGAAGGAATATTCTGGGTTCCTCTTTTCGTCATTCCTCTTTTCTTTAAAAAAAGCAAAAATTATGAATTAATAATTTCTTATGTTAAAACTTTTGTATTACTTGAGATGTTTTTGTCATTTTTACAGTTGTTTTAGGCTTTTATAGTTACGTTGTCATAGACATTGTAAAATTGTATAAACTAAAAGGTTAGCAAGTGAAATATTCACACTAAAATCATGTTAACAAATATATTGTTTATGTCTTGTGGTTATACGAGTACAATATAAGTGTCCTTATAAGTGTTCAATATAGGTGTTCTTTTTTTTTAGAAAAAGGGGGTGAAAGGGCGAAGAAAAGTCTAAATGAATTTTTGTGGTAATCAATATTATGCCACAAATGCTATCAAGCTTAATTTGCATTAAACACAGAATGTTCCTTTTATATAACTTCTTATATATCAGGGATATTATCGTTAACTAAAACAAAAAAACATAAAAAAACACTTTGTTACTAAATAATAAAATAATATTATAGTAAAAAATGTTAACTCAAATGTTAATAAATGTAACTGAAAATATATATATATATATATTAAAAAATCGATCATTTTTTTTAAATCATTTTTGTTTAGCTGAAGTACTAAAACAACAAAAACTAAATAAACTAAAACTAATAAATAAAAATTAAATAGTATACAAATATTTAAAATAAAACAAAAATGAATAAAAATGTCAAGAGCACACAACAAAATAACTAAAACCTTAACTAAAATTAAAGTCAAAACAGAAAATACAGTATAAAAATAAAAACTAATTTAAAATAATAATAAAAACTATAATAGTATGTAATGATGCTAAAAAAAAAACACTTTCTTTATAGGTAGACTGAAAAACCTATGGGTCCTTATTGCTTATTTATATAAAGCCAGCCAATCAGATTAGAGTCCGCCAGATAGAGATGCTATTATGATTATTTATATGATAAAGTATGTGTTATTTTTGTTTACAGACGATCACCAGTCACACTAAACCGCACCTGATCTCCGTGGCCTCCATGTGACCCCATCCTCTTAACATCTCAGTCTGTCTATTCTCCTAACTGCATCTTCGACTTCAGAGCTTCGAGCTTTGTTTTTCTTTCTGACCTGCCGTCTAGTCTTTGATCACAGCTCTGCCCTAAAGGCAGCCTGCCAATGCTAAACTTATCCAAACCACTTTCTCTCACCTCCAAACACACCGTAAGAACCGCCCCGCATCTCAACCAGTGTTTATTCTCCTCCGTCCATCACGACCTGCCACTCATCATCACTCAAACAGACTCAAAAGTTACGCAGCTCAGAAACAAATGTGAAAGATGAAAGGAGTCTCTGCAGTGGGACACATCAACCCCGGCAAACGCGAGTAAATTTGAGGCGCGTCTTCCTTCATCCAAAATTTCCCCATCCTCAAATGGAGATTGACTTCAGCTGCCCTCCAAACAGAGAGAGACGGGCTGCACGGGTCACCAAGGGTCGAGTCTGACTCACTCTAAGAGGGCATCCCACTGAGATAATCACTGTTTCCATCGCAGCCTAAGCTGGCTGTCGCCAACCCAGACCTCCTTCAGACCAGAGGATGGATTGTTGAACAGCACTCTGATTATGCATTGAATAAAGGAAAGGCAAAAGGAGAGGAACGCAGGGATGGAGAGTTTTCAGCGAGCCAGAACAGTAATTATAAGACAAAAGGGGATAAAATGTATGAGAAGAGAATGGAGTGTTGTTTGGTACACAACAGAATTAAACCATCGTAAATTCACATTATCACATGGTCTTGATTGCCTTATTGCTTTTATAAAATGGCAGAAAGGCTTCAGAGAGTTTTTTTAGTATTACCCTAGTAAAAAATTAATATTTTTCAAATACATTTATTTCATACTAGGTATAGTTCAAATCTATTAAAGGGGTCATATGATGCGATTTCAAGTTTTCCTTTCTCTTTGGAGTGTTACAAGCTGTTCGTGAATAGATAAATCCCTAAAGTTGCAAAGACTAAAGTCTCAAACCCAAAGAGATATTCTTTATAAAAATTAAGACTGGTCCACGCCCTCCTAAAACGCCTCGTTTAAACACGCCCCCACATGTCTACGTCAGTGTGTGGGAAGATTTGCATAACACCGCCCAAATGTTAACGCAAAGAAAGAAGGCGTAACTTTATTGTTGCTGCCACCGCCGCCACCATGTTGTGAAGACGCTCAAGAAATCAGTGGTTAAGTTGTATTTACAACACTGTTCCAGATTGAACCTTAAACCGCATAAACACATTTCATTACACCAAATACACAAAATAATATTATTTTTAGCAACACCATATGACCCCTTTAACATATTTACTGACATATCGTTCGAGACCTATATAAAAATTTGAATGAAACTTTTTTGGAGTACTACTTGTGCACAATGCACATTTCTTAATATTAAGCTTAAAACGTGTTTTAATGTCACTTCTGATGCTGATTGTAAGATCTTTGGATAATATTGGCCTTTAAATGCAAGATATTTAAAGTGTACCTAAAGAATACTTGCAATAGTTCCACTTTAGCACAATCAAATATACTTTTTTTGGCAGACGTCTAAAGTACAATTGCAGGGTATTTTTATTAAGTACATAAATATGTAAATATATTTGTAGTATACTTAGTATGAAACAAATGTATTTCAAGGGTATTTACATCCTATAGTTCTTATTAATATTTAAATTGCTTTTATTTTTATATTTTTATTTTTTATCACTTTAATACTTAGTAATTTTGTTTGTCATTTTTATTATTTTTTTTTTATATAAATAGTTTATATTATTAAATATTTTTTATTATTTCATTAATTTATTGTAAACATTTAGTAATATAATTTCTAAACAAAAATAAATAAAAATTATTTATTTCAACTTTATTTTAATTTATGTTTTTAATAGTTTCAGGTGCTACTTTCTTGTCTTAAGTATCACATTGTGAACTAACATTAATGTTACTGTAATGCTGTTGAAGTGTCTCTTATTGCTATTTTTTAGTTGAAGCTTTGAGTTAATTTACAGGTCAAATTCAAAAATAATTTCAACCAAATTAAATATGTGGACATGGAATATTGATTTATTTGCCACTACGTTCCTTGGTGATAATAAATGGCCTAAAGTTGTACTACTGAACAATATTGTTTCATGTAAATATTGTCTATTGCGGTTACTATTAATTAATGTAACTACATTGAACATAGGTGTCTTTTATCATATTGCTGTTGCTGGAAATGTATTGTAACGGGGTGAAGAATCACATGACAAGTAATCTCAATCAATACCCCGGAGGGTGGATTTATTGGGGGGATGGGTGATAGTGAGAAAGGTCCAGGTAGGTGCTCCGGTGCCGTGAGTGCTCTCTTCCGTCTTCCCAGTGCAGAGGGTCCGTGCAGTGCTCCTGGGGGGCTGGTCGGTCACACGCTGCTTTCTGTGGGAAAAATGAGAGGGCGAGTTAGTGCTCAGTCTCATGGAGGAATCTCCTAGATGGCAGGGCTTGCGTCGTTTATGTAGCAGCCGCCTGATGAGGTGCAGCTGTGACCGATCAGCCTGTGATGATGATGGCCAGGTGCTCCTCGCTTGTTTCCAGGGCGACGCTGATGAAGCTTCGGGACACTCGTCACAGTATAAAATAACTAAAATAACTCAAATGATTTGTGCCATTTTACTACAGCTCTGAACGTAGCTCATTTCGATTTTAGAGACAGCTTTGTAAGTAATGTGAGTGTATGTTTGAGAGTGTTTTGTGTGTTAGTGTGTGTGTGCATCGTGTTGAAGAAAGCTCTTGCATAGAGACACAAGCAGAGAGTCCTGACCCTCACTCCATTAGAGGCGGCTCTGCACTTTGTTAATGGAAGAATGAATGTTTGGATGATTAAACTTTATTGGCCACTTCAGATGTTACAGTGACAGAACTGTGTTAGTTGCTACAAGGTGGGAAAGGTCAGCAATTTTCCAAAGCAGTCAACCCACACTAATGTGTTTTTGAGAAGTCAATTCCAGGCACACGAGCTTCACTGCGCATAAGTAATATTATAAACATAAATGTAAATCTTAGAGTCAGTCACCTTAATTTAAGAGGTTAGACTGTTTTTGCACACTATAATCCATATGCCCAAATAGTCTAACTAGACTGTTTCCTTTCTCTTCCAAACCTTTTAAAAGGCCATATTGTATTATACATATTGCAATTGTTTTTTATTTTCTGAAGTGCAGTTTAATGTTAGTCAAGGTTACTTGCACGATGACCATTTTTACACTATGCCTTAAATTTAGGTCATTTTAAGGTTTTAAAATTCTTTGATTTAAAACTAAATAAAATACTATATACTGTACTACATACTATACATTTAAATAAAATGTATGCATATAAAATATATGAAGATTAAATTAAACTAAAACAAATTCAAACTTTAATCAATTTTGTTGAAATTTGTTATTAACAATTGTACATACAGTATCTGAGAAGCAAATATTCTATTTCTCTTGTAAGAACAACCTAACATGTCTTAAAGACAGAGAAAGAGTTGTGCCACTCTTTTCTTAGTTTTGTTAGAACAGACTGTTTGCATTTCTTCACATCAGATGTGAAGGAGAGACCTTGTACCAACTCTACTAACTGTTAAAGAGAGTCTGTCCGCTTCGCCCTTCTCCATACAATAGAGATTTTCACATGGCTTTTCACTTCAAACACTTGACCTCTGACACGGACTCAAACCAAGCAGGGAGCTTGAGCTTCTTTTATTGTGACATTGAGAGAACTACACAGCAAAAAACCTCTAGGGTCCAAACCATTAGCATGGCTTTGAAAATATGTTTTTATGAACATGTTCTTTTATCGGCCAACACCTGGGAAAAGCCATTTGTTGAATGCAAAGATCTGTGACCACTATTTAAACGTAATTTCATTTATTTAAATTAATTTCTAAATCGTTGAGTATGTGTATATATATATATACAGTGGGTACGGAAAGTATTCAGACCCCCTTAAATTTTTCACTCTTTGTTATATTGCAGCACAAATGATTCAGAATGCAGCAGCACAACTAGTCTTCAATGAGCCCAAGAGAGCCAACATCACTCCTCTGTGTATCTCTCTGCAATGGCTACTAGTTACGACTCGCATCAAGTTCAAGACATTGATGCACGCATACAGAACAGCCATGGCTCTGCATCCCCCTACCTCCACTCACTCTCTTACGGTCGGTGAGTGAACGTCGCCTCTTTGTACCATCATAGAAAGGCACAAAAACGCTTTCCAGAACATTCTCATTCACTGGTGGAATGATCTTCCCAATCCTGTCCAGAACACAGAATCCTTGACAATATTCAAGAAACACATCAAAACACCTCAAAGTTCTGACTGCATCCTGCTGAAAAAGAAAAAAAAAAATCCTCCTATTTGCTTTCACTATTCCTTAGACTTAGTGTGTCCACCAAAGCATTTTTTCCTTAAGCTATTGTGTTTTAAATACAGGGCGTCCTTAAAAAAATCTTCAATTTAGTTTTTAAAAAGTCTTAAATACCTTAAATGTAATAAGAAAAGTCTTCATTATAATTTCAAGAGGTCTTACATTTGGGGATGGAAAGACAAGAATTGCAAAATGGATTAATGTGACGATTACACTTTAAAATGCTATAATTTCATTAAATTAATATGAGCGCTGCACGTTTCAAATTCAAGTCAAATGCAAATGGACTGAACTTGAGTGCCGGGAAGTTTAGCATGATCTTGGGACAGCTGGTTTATGGATACGGGTTTATGGCAGCTTGTGGTCCTCTAAAAAGTGGGAAGAAAACAATAACGCAGCTGTATGATGCCCAAAGGAAAGGGAGGAATTAGTTGCTCTAGATTACAGACTGTCAAAGAGAAAGCGAGAGATGTTTAGATTATAAATAATACTGCTAAAAATTATGTTATCTTTGTTGCCGTTTTGACCAATATTATAAAATAAGCAAAATATGTATACACACACACACACACACACACACACACACACATATATATATATATATATATATATATATATATATATA